GGATGAGAATGGAGGACATTTTGAACACTTGCGTTAATGCATAATTTTTTCTCACATTTTTTCTTCATTATAAAATTGAATTTATGAAATTAAACATGGAAGTAATTAACAATCAAAGTGTGTATACATTTTATTTGGACACCCTGTATGTATATGGTACAGCTGAGATTTTGTAATGAAGAGAAAAATTTTAAATCTTTTAATGGTAAGTACCTAATTTTTTACATTTTATTGTACACATTAAATTAAAAGGAATTCAAACCACGTTAAGAGAGACGAAATGAAAAGAATAAAGAATTAGAATAAGGCTTTGTAAAAGATGAGAAAAGAAGAACATATTGAAAAGAGGAGCCTGTCATTGCACGGTACACCTGGAGATTGAAATCTTGTGCAATCCTTTGTAAATACTCTTTCAGTAGTCGCTGCAAATAATCCAAAACAGTAGAATTTATCCGCGAGATCATTGGCGATTAGTTTTGCGGCTCGGAGGAGGGTCTTGTCATGCAATGTACTGTTCCATCCTAAGTTAATTCAGGCTCTGTTCATTCTTGAGACAATCAATAAACTTCCATATAGGAGGATAATTAGCTGCAAGATGCTTGCTGAAGCCACGATGCCATCCTCAAGCTATCTTCCATCGGTCATCCTGGATTGATGCCCAAGGAAGTTGTGTAATATTAGCGATCTCAAAAAAATCCGAAAAAATTAAATTGGTATGTCGACATTTCATTTCGTCGATGTTTTGGCACGTCGATGTTTCGTCTCGTCGATGTTCAGACATGATACCCGTTTCTAGTTACCTTCGGCACTCCCGTTGAATTCTGTCTCTGACCGTCATCACGACATTTCTAAGCTTTCCGTAATGCAAGGCCTCTCCTTAGTAGCATCCACGCGTATCATTTTAACGTGACATTCATTTTTATTAGCAAAATCCATTTTGTGCGAGAAAAAAAAAACAATGAGTACAAAATAAAAAGTGCTGGCAAACAAAGAAAATACGTGCGTGCAGGAGTCGAGATCGGTGACATTCCCCACCAATTAGTCATCAGTCAGTTACTTCATTCGACTCAAAGCCACCCGCATGACTTGCACGGCAAAGTTCGCATCTTCTTTCGAAATACACATCGGTGGTTTTATCCGAAACACCTAAGAGAAAAGAGTTGTTTTTTAAAGTAAAAAAAAGCCGGAAACTCAGAGGGTAAAGACAAGTCCTCACGTTCTTATGGAGCCCCCCGAGGCCAAGCAGAACCCCCATATCCTTGATATCCTCGAAGAGCGCCATCATCCTCTCGGGTTTGAGCGGCGTCCTGGACTCCTTGTCCTCCACCATCTCCACCCCGATCATGAGTCCCTTCCCCCTCACGTCCCCCACGTTCTCCGGGAACTCCTCGCGCAGCTTCGCCAGCTCCGATAGGAAGTGAGCGCCCACGCCGTAGCAACGGGCTTGGGTGTTCTCGTCTTTGATCACCTGGTGGGGGAAGCATCACCGAGCGGTTCATCTGGCGTTCCGTTCTTTTCCTCTCGAGGTCGATCGATGCGACTCGTCTAACGAGAGTCATTATTCGCAATCTGCGAAAAATCGTGAAATTCAAAGGTTCGTGCTCAAAAGGCGAGGGAAAGGAGAGGAGCTCCTCTAAAACATTCCTTTATCGAGACATACGACCACTTTTCGGAGAGATTCTCAATTTAGTTCTATAGAATTCCAGATTCATTTTAAAAATGATCGATCTTTCCAATATCGTCTGCGAAATCAGGGCATCAGACTTTCCCTCGAGTTCTCCCGGCCGCACTCCCTCCACAACGCCCAACTAACATGAAGCAAACCACGAAAACGTCCACATACGTCCAAGACGGCAGATCCGACGGCGCACGCGACCGGGTTCCCCCCGAACGTGTTGAAGTAAGCCGCCTTCCCCACGGACGCGGCGATTTCCTTCGTCGTGACCACGGCCGCGAGGGGGAACCCGTTCCCGATCCCCTTGGCCATGGTCACGATGTCGGGGGTGATGCCGTGGCCCCGGAAGCCCCAGAAGTGGTCGCCGGTCCGGCCGAACCCCGTCTGGACCTGAAACAAAAATCATTAAAGAAATATTTCAATAATAATACGGCATCGGCCTCGGAAATATGTTCTTACCTCGTCGGATACGAACAATCCGCCGTGATTCTTCACGAGCTCGTAGACGCGTTTGATAAAATTCTTGGGATACTGCACCGTGCCTCCGACACCCTACGAAACCCGAAGCATACAAATTCTATAAAGCCTGAAATATACCAATGTTGTATGCTTAAAACCCCCTCTGAAACACTCAGGTGAAATAAAAATCCAAAGGGTCGCCTTAGCAGGTAGATATCACACTGAATTAGAGGAGTTTTCTGCATGCATTCGAAAGGGCAAAGGGGAATTACCTTCTCCAACTCTTTGCTGGGTGCATTTGTTAGACTCAAGGTCGATGGTTTGGGAATGCCCTATGCGTGTCAAGGCTATTTTTGCTTATCGTGTTCATCGTCGTACCGATTTGCATTTCAGTTGCAGTGCATCGTCTGTAGCTTCGCAAGTTTGAGGTATCTATGCACTAAACTCGAGATATTCCATGTCGTCAATTTTATTTAGCTTTCAATCGGCGAAGTTTACGGAATTCGATCGTCAAAATAATTATTGAACGTCCACGGCGTCGGACAGAGCGCTGCAAAAAAGCAACATTTAAAAGAGAAAGCATGAAAAGGCTGACAGGGGCAGGGTTCAGCGCATGCGCAGTGCATCGGCCAGGCCACTTGGATTCGACCTTCAGGCAGGTGTACGGACGGGTCGAGCGGGAAAGCGGAGGGGAGGCGAAACAACTAAGTCCCGAAGAGAGGGGTGAGCGCCACGATGCAAAATCGATGCAGCCTCGCCACATGTCCTCCCCCCTCCTCCTCCCTCCCCCCCCCCCTCCCCACCCTTTCCCTCCTCCTCGATCCACAGGTTTGAAGGCCTGAAAGCTCCTGCTTGCACTAGGCATTTTGTATCCGCTAGTTCTGTCTCCTCGTATCTTTTTCAACCCGACGATATTTATGTGTTTTGGTTCGTGTGACTGGCATCCATCAACACAGATGTTCCAGCTGCCATCGATACGGATTGCGAACTCGCATACCGATTCAGATACCATATAGAGACTCCGACTATGAATGCCATAATTAGAATTCATCTATTTCCCTAAAAGCGGAAAAATATTCAAGGATTATGTCAAGGAAATAATGGTATAGGCATACATGCCTATTTTATTTTACGATCAGCATGTTTCTTAACTCTATAGGGTACCGATACAATAATGTACCATCTCCCCTCTTCCCACGGAGTTTTCCCTAATAAAGGGTTAATTTCAGGTTAACACTTTAAAAGAATCTTTAAGACTATGTAATGGGATTCAAGATTCCGTTCGCGTCGACCTTTATTCCATCCCCACTAGATTTCCCTGGTGAGGGGAGGGACAAGCCTTTTCACGATCGGGGGACAGCATCGAAGCCTGGGGGACTTTTTGATCCCAAGTTGCAACGTTGCAGCAATTTCTGCCAAAGCAGACTGAAAATTCTCATTTTCGTCAACTCTGACGAATTCCTGCAGGGGGCCCTGCCACAGTTTAAGGATGGCACGTGCATTTCCAAGACGGAAGAAAAAGAGCAATGGTCCTACTTGAATGGATTCGGCAAAGAAGGCAGCCAGGTTGCCCTTAGCGATGGAATACCGGAAGAGGTCTTCCACCTGCTCCACGTACTTGTCCTCCGCCTGGCACTCTCCCTCTTGACAGGTGCATTTCCGAGTCGTCTGGATCGAAGAATCCCTGCAGGCCTTCCCACCCCAAGGCCCTCGGTATGGATCTGGGTTTACCGTCTGTGGATCAACAAAGAGTATACCGAACTGTTTCTCAGCGGAACTCTGAGCATCGAGCGAGATGAAAATAACTAGTTTTTGGAAATTTGAACCTCTTAGCTCACATGGAAATCCGGAGCTGTAAAAATCGAGTGTTTTTCTGATTACATTTATCATAAGGTTTATAACACATGTTTTAAATCCTTCAAAGTATCATCAGTCAGTGCCAGGAAGATTCGGACCGACCGCGATCGATATGGGACATACTCGATACGGAACTCGAGAACCGAAATTAGAACCGCAGGAATGAGTTGGATCAATTATTAAAATTTCGATTTCGACGGAAACGACGAAAGGGCTCACGTGATGAATGCCAAAGGCACTCGGTAAGCGATGCCTCCAGGTGGAGAGCGCCGTGAGGCCCATGACATAGGGCGACATCCCGTGGAAGGCGTTCCTGAAGCCCACGATGTCGAAGGCGCCCGTGTGGACGCGGCTCATGAACATGGCGAGGTCGTTCGCCTCGGATCCGCTGTTCACCAGGAAGCACACCTGTGGGGGAATCCCGGGGTCGTGAGGGGGGTCGAGTGGGGGGTCGTGAGGGGGGTCGGTGCCGCGGGTTGCGTACCTTGAGATCACCGGGCATCTTGGCAAGAAGCTTCTCGGTGTATTCCTTGAGGGTGGGCTGGATGTAAATGTGGGTGGTGTGCCACAGCCGGTCCAGCTGGTCTTTCGCGGCCTGCACCACTTTTCTGACCATTCACACCTCAATCACTCATCCGAATCGACACTCGGCCGCATTAGTCCATGTGGAATCGGACTCACGGGTGGCAATGCCCGACGCTGACGGTGACGATCCCCCCGAACATGTCCAGGTACCGATTCCCTTCCGTGTCCCACAGCCACTGCATGTGTCCTGCGGCGACAGATCGATTTCAGGAGAGCCCTCCCTGTTGCATGCATGCTAAAACTTTTAAATATTCGAGAATTTAACATGACAAGAGAGAAATTTCCCCTTGAATTTTCCCCGTTGAGAGAAAAAAAAAGTTTAAAAATTGAAACGAATAATATATACTTCCCCCCCCCCCTCCGTTTTTTCATGCACATCACATCTCCGTTGCCCATAAAAATATCAAAGAAGAATTTACAACGTTCCACATTTTTTCTCGACATGCAAACAGCCTTGAAAGAGGCTCACCTTGATGCACACGAACGGGTTTCTTGTAATAAGCGGTGGTCATCATATTTGGTATCTGATGCTGTCGACGAAATTCCAAATCGTTCTCCAACGATGGTCCCTTCCAATGAAAAATCAATCGATTGCATCGTATCAATCATCAAATCAGTAATTTATTTTTTATAATTATTTGTATGTCATTTTTTTGTTACTTGGAATGACGACGGGTGGAAGTCGCAATGCGGCATCGCCGGCACCTCGGTGCTGACCCCTGCGAGACCAAAAACAGAACTCACTCAGACCCCAATCAATTCCACACGGACTCGGACGAACTCAACGCACCTCTGACGAACCGACCCGCCACGAATCCCCTCGGGATCGCCGGCCTCACGACACCCGACAGTCGACGAAACGGAGACGCCGCACCCAGCATCTTCACGGACGGAATGCACAACGAATACTGAAGGGCCTCCTGTAACCTTCGAGTCATCGTAGAGAGAAAAGCCTTTGGATGTCGCTGCGCAGCCCTCCCCCGAGGCCCCGTTTCACATCCTCCCATCTCCCCCCACCCTCCCCGCATGCTCGACCGGCCCCCCTCCCCTTCGTGCAACCCGACCCTCCACATGGGGAACGTCGATGCCGCCCGTAGAGACGAAGCGGGCCCGGACCTTCAAGGTCGTGCCCGCACGGCACACCCGCACCCGTCGTCCCGCGAACCCGCCACGGCCCGAATGCGTCTCTCAGCAGACGACAAATATAAATCCCAGACGATGAAACGTGCCAGTGAGGCTCCCAACGGTCAAAGACTTTTTTTTCATCTTCTGCCAGCTTTCGATTCCAGACTTTCCGGCTCGTATTTTATTTCGTGCAAAACCGATCTGCCCTGCAGATTTTCTTCTCTCGGTCGAGTACATTCGCGCCCCGAGGAAACCAAATCATGAACGATCGATCCCAGAAAACACCAGACTGAAACTTCGCGATCTCGGAGCCCTCGTCGAAAGCAGGAAAACCTTCCAATTTTCCGATTCATGCATTAACTGCGATGTGAATCCCGAGGATCGAAATTCGCATAACATCCAAGCATCAGCTCCCCCACCCCACCAGTTCGGGTGCCAATGTTGTCGGACAAAAACAGGAAAGCGAGACTTCTCTGGGCAAAAGAGCATCGTCACTAGACCATTGCTGAGTGGAAAAAGGTTGCGTGGTCAGATGAATCCCGGTTCCAGTTGCATTTCGCCGATGGGAGGATGCGAATCTGGCGCAGGAAACATGAATCCATGGACCCCTCCTGTTTGGTGTCAACATTACAGGCTGGTGGCGGCTCTGTGATGGTGTGGGGTGTGTTCTGTTGGCAAACCCTAGGTCCCCTCATACCCCTGGAAGGTCGTCAGGACAGTACGGCATACCTGAACATCGTTGCCGATCGGGTCCATCCCTTTATGACCACCGTTTTCCCTTTAGCAGATGGATACTTTCAGCAGGACGATGCACCGTGCCACAAGGGCCATATCGTCATGGATTGGTTCGAGGAACATGCCCAGGAGTTTACCTTGCTCCAGTGGCCCGCACAGTCCCCTGATCTCAATCCAATAGAACATCTTTGGGATGAGGTGGAACGGGCTGTGCGGGGCTTGCCTGTATTGCCATCAAACAAGCGACAACTGAGTGACGCTGTGCTAGTAGCATGGGCCGGGATACCTGCAGAACGTTTCCAGCACCTCGTGGAATCCATGCCACGACGAATTGATGCTGTTTTGAGGGCCAAAGGTGGTCCAACACGCTACTAGTGAGGTATCTCTAATTTTGTGGACATTGAGTGTATATCTTACATGTAATTTATGTCTTCACTATAGTGGATAGTAGCAGCATTGAGTTCAGGAGAAGGGTACCTGAGGACACAATATGGATCATGTTATTGGTATATCTAAGGAAAAGAATGGAGCCTTAGGAAGATCCTTGAGGGATGCCAATTGCTGATTCATAAATATTTGTATTCTTAGCTTGTGATATTCTTATGCCCAGTGATGAGCCAGTGGCACCTGGGAATCTTGGATTCACCTATATTAAAAGAACAATTGCAGTAATTGTAATTGTCAGGAAAGAATCATAGATGGAGAGGTCTTCAGGTAGAGTTGTTTAAGAGCTTGCAGTACTCTGGGGAAGGGGGGGGGGAGCAGTCCTCTGGTGCAAGCTCTGGGAATGCCATTAATGTCAGGTTTTTTCAGTTTCTGGAGGTCTTAAATAGTTTTGGGATTCAGGAAAGGGAAAGGTCAATGTGCAATGATGTGAAGGATATACTGGAAGTGGATGTAAGTGAAGTATTTGGAGGGCAGTAGCCAGTCAAATGTCGTTCTTCCGGACTTGAGGAAACTCGATTTTGTCCAGATTACGGAAAAACTGACTGAGTAACTACTTTTTTGTTTTTGCTGGTAAAGAAACGTGCACGCTCGACGTAATGCATAATGTTTTAATTTATTCCTTTTCCCTATGTGAATCAGTTCTTTCAGCCAGTCACGTTGAAGAAATCCCTAAATTTATTTTGTGATTCACACGCAAAAGCTCTTCGCATTTTAGATACTGCCGAGAACATTGCTCGTGTCAGAAGGGAGATAAGAAACTTGTTGAGTATTGTACTTATTAATAGTAAGCAAGAGTAATCTTCATTGCCCGATTCCAGGAAAAAGGGCTGAGATGAGATGAGATGAGCTGTTTCCTGTTTCTCCTTGAAATCCTGGTTGAGGGGGAGTGGAAACGTTGGAAAGGGATCGAGAACACTTTTTTAAAATGTAATATTCCATCTCTTCTGCTAGAAAGTACTGGTTAACAGAAGGAATGGCACATTGTACTAGAAAACTCATACGTATAAGCGGGAGCTGCGAAATAACGATGCCTCCGCTTAATACGAAGATTTTAATATGGGTTCTACTATGATAGATTTCCCCGGGCATTCCTCTTATCCGAATTCACGAAAACGCCTAGTGACGGTTAATGAATGAGAGTTGACTATATTCTACAGGGTGTCTATGAAACCTTTGATACATCACGGATGATAACTTCGAACGAAAGTCCACAAGCTTTCAATGCTGCCAGTTCTTGCCAAATACACAACCCTAGTGCTGTCCTTTTTTTTTCCGAAAAAAATCTTAATACTCTTAATCCCTTCCAAATAGTCACAAGGTGGTAGGAGCGAACGTCGTTGAAGAGTCACTAAATAGGTGGTTAAAAAATATATTCGGAATTGCGTTATTGGACACAATTGGCACGCTACCGCTAAAATTGTCGAACAGTATTCTAATTTTCTGATCTGTAAATAAAACGCCTGTGCGTACTGAATCTGAATAATTGCCTCTTCTCGATATCAGGGTGAAAGAAAACCCTTTCTCACTACATCATCCGTAATATTAAGTAAGGTTAGAATTTTGCATCGATGGAATTTTGCATGGGTGTCTTGGATCAGGCGTCGCGATGCCTCAGCAGACTGAGAATGGAAGTAGGGTACGCGATATGAAGTCCGCCCCAACGCTACATATTTCAACGTAATCAGAAGTACAAACAGCCTTTTCCAACCAAATTACACCAATGTTTGGTCTCAAAACGTGAAGGGGTAGTGTGTTCATTTTCCTTTCGATTGGCATAGATTTAACAAATTAAATTTCAAACTGTGGGTAAGGGGGCGGATTTTGTATCATCTACCCTACAGTACCGCTCGGAGCCAAGTTGTTGTCTGCCCCATCCTGCATGAGATACTATGCGTGATTCTAAACCAGACGTGAAATTCTCGTTTGTTATCCGTTTCCCCACTTCTCACCGTTTATCAGCAATACTCACTTCTTTTTTTTTCGGCATGAGTCGTTTCATCTATTATTCTTCAAATATTACAACCTTGGCAGAGTAGTTGCTGCTTTTTTTCCCACTTGACTCAGACACTCCAGCAGGAGGCACTCCCATGTAAGAGCGTCCGAGTCAAGTGAAGAATTTTTTTGGACACAAGTGAGAAAGACAATGACGAATTGGCATTCATCCGATGAAACCCTCTTGTGCACATCATTTTGCGCTTTACCGCATGGCTCTTACCATTTGGCCAGAAGTCGTGAACATTTGTAATGCATCCAAGATTTGATGCATATTTATTACATTGATTAATAAGTAAGTCACATCTTTTTCTGTCTCATTTTACACTGAAAAAAGTAAGGCGTACAAGAAGCAAATATTCAAAGCCAAAAAGTTGGCCCTCTGTTTATAAAATTAAAAGTATGGATACATTTCATACCTATGTAGGTTTAGCACGGGTTTAAGAGCTAGAGCATGTTAGAACTTGCTCTTATCTCAAAGAGGAACGTCGTGGATCCTATAGATTCTTTAAAGGGCCAGGCAAAGTCAATATTTCCTCAAGAATTAGGAAGAAAAGTCGAACGTCAAAGTTCCCTTTTGTCTGCCAGAAAACACCGCCGGATCAAAGGAGCGTCGAGCGATGGTTTGAGAAATTTTGGAAATTCAGCCGCACTGGAACATTACAATTACCTTTTCTTTTTTTTTTTTAGGGCATCGATGTTTTAGGGCAACATGCGTGGATTTTCCTAAATGTCAGACTTTAAGAAACGCATTGACATGATCATATGATGATATGTAAGTATCCTCTTCAGTTCTTGGGTGGAACAATGGAGTATTGCTGGGTGCCCAACAGGCGTTTCCTGTCCTTTAATACTCCATTGTGAACATACTCACCGGGTAGTGTACCGCAACTGTTTTCAGTGTCGTCGGCAAAGAAAGAGAGGGGGGGGGGTTGAGGGTTTCGTAAGAAACTGGTTCCAAAAGAGAGATGATCAATTGGGGAACTAATTGTGACTTCTTTCAGCAGTCCTGAACGGGGAGAAAAGACAGGAGACAGGGCACGTCCCCCTCTTGCGCCTCTTCCAACCCCTCGCTTCGTTTTGTCATTCTAGTCTGTCGCGTCTCGTTGCCCATCGATCGATGCGTCTAGGTTTGCGTGCACTTATTACGCCCAGCGTCTGCGAAGTTCCGCGTGAGCGGGTACCACAATTTAGAAGCTAAATCTAAATTAAGATCGGGCATTTGTGTGAAGATTTAGTTTAGGAGTTTAGAAGTGGTTTTTACATGTCATTTTCAGTCAGTATTTCCAATAATACTTTTTTCAGATCTTATTTTTGATAGGGTAATTCAGGGTGGGGAGGGGGGATAACTGTGTCCTCTGCGTATTAGAGGTGGTATGGCAACCAGCGACTTGGAGGACGTTGAAACAAGGAGAGGCCTTCTTCATTGCCAGCAGTGACGGTAACGACACAAAGGAAGAGGTTCGGAAAAGTGCAAAAGAATATCAGGTCAGAAAACCGGAGCATTGGAAGGATTCCAAGAGAACAAGACTCCTGGGCCGTGAAAGCTCCAAATTTTGAATGCACATGCCAAGTTTAGGTGAAAACTGGCATTCGCAAACGCTCGGAATGTTAAGTCACACCAGGGAAGTCGGTGTTTCATTTGGAAGCTCAGTCCTTCTCCATCGGAAAGAAACGAAAGTGAGGGAAACCGAAGAAGACTATCTCTGCCCCGTAGGCCCGCTAAAAAAAATTATTTAATTTTACGCATGAAATGTTCATATGCATGAAATGATTTGGTGGTCATTTCTTGACTGGTGAAAGTACTGAGGGAGACTATCGTGATGTAAATTCATTAAGTGACCAAATAATACAATATGGTGATGAATCATTACTACTTCGTGCCGGAGTCAATATTATTTGGTGATGAATTAAATATTAACCACTGTAGTTGGTGCTTCCATTCCTTTTACTATTTCTCTGGCAAAATATCACCGATTGCCCTAATGGGGTCGCATATGAAAATGGGCATGTTAACTGCGCGTAGCGTTGGGATGTCGAAAGTTTGATGAATAGAGAAACCAAAATTTCACGATCGTAAATTGATTGTTGAACAAGCATTCATGGGATAAGTATGCCAGTTCCTATGATAACCGAGGGAAAAGAGACAATAAAGACATGAACTCGTGCACCTGCCCATATTCCTCACCTGTTGGGGTAAAACGACAATTTAATTGGTTAATATGAGCAAACAGATTAGTTTGCGAAGCGAAGGGAGTTCCTGGGAAATTTTCGAAAAAACCGGACTGAAAGCAATGCGTTTTGGTTCCACCCAGCCAAAATAAGACAATTTCCAAGATAAATCACAGTCCCAGTAGAACAATTTTCATAGAATCATGTGAAGGCCTTGCATGTTTTCCAAATCTCGTGCATGCCTGTGGGAGTGTTTTTCCAAATATTAATGTTCGTTTTTCAGATGCCAACAATCAGTAGAAATTCGAATGCCGATTTGTCCAGTGCCCGAGTGGCTCTGTCTAAATTATTTGACATTCATGAAAGTACGATATTCATGATGAAGTCGATCACGCTCGATATGGACTTCTCCTTAACTACAATTTCGCGTGATAGGCAGGATAATGGAGAGGTCGTGCGTATCTCTTGCTAGACTGTGGAAGACATGTCTTAATTCACAAGTTTTTGCAGATAACATAAGGAATGGGTCTTGCCTGTTTTGACCCACTAAGCACCAATCATAGAGAAAATAACCATTAACAGGAGTGCGGGCGGATTCATTCATTCAGTCGGTCATTCGTCGGGCGGAGGTTTCTCTTCCGTCATCTCGTCCGTGATCGGGGTGGAGAGAGAGAAGGCTCTGCGCGACCATCGCGATGGGTAAAAAAGCCATCGATGCATCCTGACGGCCCTACTTTTTTTCTGGCTATTGAGAATCAATTACCGAGCCATGTCCACGTATTATTTTTCATGTTTCTTCTTTCGGCACGTTTTTCTATGGGCATCGGCAATTTGCGAACCTACCAATGGTGTCATATCGACGCTGTTGCCGATGGTTGCCGTTGCCGGGACAGCCCTACCTTGTAGGGCTTTGAGTTTACTTGCAGGAGAGACACCACGCACACCACAGGTGATTGTGTTAAATTATTGGACAAAGGAGCATTGATTAGGAACTTCCTCTTGTGCCTTTATATGTGGTCTCGGTGACTCGAAATGACAAATATTAATGGTTCTTCCTCTCTTTCGTAGGAAATGATTCCAGTCCAATTTCACTATGGCATGACATCCCCCTCTATGCTGATGAGGCCAACAAGGTCTTCAACATGATCGTTGAGGTTCCCAGGTGGTCCAATGCTAAGATGGAGGTAAGGAAATGGTCAGGACTCAGTATTGGCTTTGTGATTAGATTTTATATTGTGATGTTGAGAGAGACATGAAAAATTTAACATTTATTCATTCAATTCACCCGCTTCTGTGCTCTAGCTTGTCACTACTAGCTAAAGCAAGGAAATAATGCAATGCTATTAGAAGTAGGTTATTAGATTGACTTGGACTCTCCAGTGTGATTGGTGATGAGAAGGGTGGCATGCATCCAATTGGTTCAACTTTTGGAGATACTACATGGGAGTTGGTTTGTGATATTTCCACATATGAAGAGAGTTATCTATTTATGAATAGGTTCTGATGCTTAGTAATCATCAGACTCATCTGCACCTTTCGCCATTGTAATTTTTTGCACAGCTAATGTTGATACCCCTCATATAAAAAATATGAGTGTGTGAATGTGGTTATGAGATGAGGCTCCTCTTGTCTTTTTCCAGAAATTAAGCTGGTGTTTCCAGCCTCTTACTGGCAAGAAAACTTTACATAAACTTTACATAATTTTACTTTACATAATTTAGCATGATTCATTACATCTCTTAGACTGAAACTGGGGTTTAAAGATGGCATTAGGCCTGCTTAGGACTTCACCCCTTTTTTTTTTTCCTCTAAAGAAGATGAAGATTCTCATCTGGGCTCCCTTTGGCAAATAAAAAAAGGTCTTATTGGATAGGTATTTGGCAAAAACTTCGCTATGGTTATGTCCCTCTTTGTGTTTTCATATTAATTAAATATGACCACATTGGCATGAAAAAATGTATATATATTAGGAGTTACACATTTTTAACTGAAATAATTGATTTCTCACCTCCTTGGGCAAAAACTTTTTCATCATGCATCATCTCTGCTGCACCAAGAAGTTGCAAATATGTTTCCTGCCCTCCATGCCAGAAGTAGTCAAGGAGGCATTGTCATTAGTTACATCAGTTCAAGTGGAAAAAGGCAAAAAAATTATAGAGAAAAAAAAAATTAAGTATATATTGACCTTTCTTTAAGACTGTTATATTGATTCACTAGTCAAGGGCAGAGGCATTGATAGTTTTAGTAAGTTTCACAATGCTCTCAGAGGCTCAGGCTATGCATTATTTCCTTCCTTGGCCTCTTGCTTAGGGCCTCCTGTGATTGGAGCTGACAGAAGCCACCTTGTATTAACTTGTGAGTTCAGATTATGCTTGGTTGAACTGGTGCACTGTGGTTCTCCATTTGTCCTTCTTTCTAGTAGATTTGCAAGGAGGAGGCTCTAAATCCCATCAAACAGGATGTGAAGAAAGGAAATCTCCGATTTGTCCACAACTGTTTCCCACACCATGGATACATCTGGAATTATGGAGCCTTGCCACAGGTACATACAAACATGGGTGTCTTTATCCTGTATCTCTGTATGTTTTTTAGGAGGTAATATATTGCCAATTGGTAGTTGAATTAAGGAAATCATAGGATGTAGCTATAAGTTGACTGGAATCTTCTTAGTATTAGATGGCCCCAAGTTAATTCCTAACTGCAAACTTTATGATATGGAGTTTGATTTTGAAAAGTGAATTAAAAGTGAAAAAGGATTACTTACATGCAAAGGAATGATTACTTGCATACACTACTATTCAGATCCAGCTCTGGTTCTGGCCAAATACATGCTATCAGATATCTAGTATCCAGTATCAAGCCAAAACACTCTTTTACATCACAAAACAAGTGCATGCTTTAGTTCATCATTGAGAGAATAGTAATTCCCTCAGTCAGACAGGGAAAGTGATATTTGATGGTGAATTTGGTTATGGTCTATGATCAGTGAGCTCCTGAACATTGTACAGTGTTCTGGTGGTTTCAGGTTGGTTTTGTGCAGTGTCATGTGTTGCCCTTGAAGCAATTGTTAGTTTCAGTTGCTTATGTCTTGGTTTGCCTTGGAAATGGGGTTTCTCTCTATACATGAACCACCTAAATGAACACACCATAATGAAAAACTGCACAGTGCTGATTATGATGTGTTGCTATTGCAATGAATACAAGTAATCTTGCTCTCCTTTGGGGGAAATGATAAAAGTTTCACATTTAACCTGAAGATTTGGATTAGTTTAAATTTTAATTTGCCAGGCTTCCAGGTAGAACCTTGCTGTCTGATGTGATGAATAGTATTTTTCAAGCCATGCAAGTAAAAATGATATGCACATTTTCACCTGGAATAGTGGCTAGATCCTGTAACCTTATGGCTTTATTTGCCATGGTAATTATGGATTGTTGCAGACTTGGGAGAACCCAAATATGACAGATGAATCCACTGGGCAGAAGGGAGACAATGATCCTATTGATGTATGTGAAATTGGACACAGGATTGCCAAACCTGGAGAAGTGATCCAAGTCAAAGCTCTTGGGATCTTGGCCTTAATTGATGAAGGGGAGACTGACTGGAAGGTGATTGCCATTGACACCTCTGACCCACTTGCAGAAAAACTCAATGGTTAGTTCATCCTTCCATTTAACCTTTATTTCTCAGTCTTCATTAGTCATTGTGATATGCAACTTTATAATGTATTTGATTTGCTATATAGATATAGCTGATAGCTTCAACCTGCTTTCCTGGCTGATGCTACCCTTTCTATTAAAACTCAATTGGTATTCCTCCCTTCACAATTGCAGCCTGAAATTTGTGCATGAACACCAAAAAGTGGTATAATTTGAGCTTGATGTTATGGATGGGAATGTGCATGCACTGGTTTTGGCATAACAGAAAGGAACCACAACTTATAACTGTCATTTTTAACTCTGTACTGGAGCCATTCTCCTGACACTGGCACAGTGTATAGACTGTTATGTTTCCAACACCCCTTTGAAATTTCATGCGAATTCTTTCTACTGTGGCAATGTTGTAATATTCAAAAGGAATCATAACTTACAAGTGGTAGACATGGAAATACTATTTTTCCCTTCAACTCCTAGCAGAGGTCCCTGTCCAGTTTTATCATCACAACTTAATTTGAATAAATGCTTAGCTTTGGCATGATGAATTTTAATGAGTTACTAAGTCTCATGCAAACATCAGCCTACATATTGTTCAACCATTGTGGAAACAGCACTTAGAAGAGAAGAAATAATTTTGTTGAACCTAGATATGCCTGGCATCCTTTATGTAGGACTGCTTACAGAGATCCACATGATAAATTTTCTAAAGGTTCATGTGTTATCAATGTTATCTGGCCAGACAGTAACATGTATATGCCAGGCTTTTAATGTCAGGCCAGATAATTCAGAGTAACATAGCTGACATGTGAATCTCTTGAGAATTGCTTTTTGCACATCTCTGCACACTTTCCTACACGTAGGACATCAGGCATATCTGAGTTAAAATTAATGAGTCTTTTTTTCTGTCATACTCTGCATGGGATAACAGCAGTTGGAAGCTGAACTTGGAGGAATCAGCTTCATGACAGGTTGCATCTAGACAGCAATTTACTCCCTGGCTCCTGAAAACTCACCATCTAACTTGGTTTTGTCACCTTTGTTGGGGCAATAAGAACCAATGACTAGGGGCACTGTGAAATTATGGGGTATTGAGAAAAGTCTGCATTTTATGCTTTTTTTTCCTTCAAGCTCCTTTAAAAGCTTAAGTTTTGTAACAAAGGAAGTCATGCAATTACTAGGTATCTCACCAAGCTCTGTCAAACCAAAACATAATAAAATGAAGTAGATTTGATGCCATCTCTTGATCAATTTCCATTCATTCACTCACATTGCTATAGATATTGGAGATGTGGAGAATGAGATGCCTGGGTTCCTGAAGGCAACCCATGAGTGGTTCCGCATCTATAAGATGCCTGATGGAAAGCCTGAAAATCAATTTGCATTCAATGGAGAGTTCAAGCCAAAGGATTTTGCTCATAAGATCATTCTGGAAACGTACCATGAGTGGCAGGGTCTAATTCAGAGAAAGGAAGATCCTGGAAAAATCTCACTGTGAGTCACATGCCAGCTACATATTAATGAAAGCCTAAACATGGTCTTATGTGTAAATCGCATTTGATGTTTAATATGCTTAATCTGCTCTCATTTGATCATTGAATATCCTCATTTAAGGAAAGAGTCATCTGCTATGAGGTTTCATGATCCTTGTTGACTTGTGATTTTTTCAACATTTCACCCATAGAGTGAATGGAAAATTGCTTTGTTGGGATAAGCTATATCAATGTTTCTCATATAACCATAACATTTTGAATACTGAAATGGTAAAACATCAGTCAATGAGAGTAATTGATTTTTGCATAAGAATTGTCATGAATTTTCTTTAGGTGACTTGATGGCTTGACTGAATGATTTCATGAAATGGCTTTTGATGTGAAGGCTGAAACTTGCGATACTGTTCTGTTTCTTCCTCAGAGCTTGCACAACAGTGAACACTCAAGATAAGATGTCTGGTGAAGAGGCAGAAGCTCTGGTTTCAGCTGCTCCTCCTCCTGCCTCTCCTGCACCCATCGATCCCGTGGGTTAGTCCCTAGCCGTTGTTTACCTAAGTTCTTCTTCTTTGATAATGATAAAGTAATGAAAATATTTCTTTAAAAACACCACAGCATATGTACTGCATATCCATTCCTGGAGGCTTGTGGTTTTCACTTTCTCTACTTCTCGTGTAAGATTTTCCAAGGATTTGAGTAGTTCTCTTTGAAAAGCAGGAAAATATGCATCTGTACATAGTAGCTAAGACAGCCTTGAATGCAGGAAAGGATTCCTTCCTCCCTTTATATGCTCCAGAAAAGTCACCCATCACCTGCTGTCATAAATGTTGCAATAGGAAAGTTCCTATACCTGATCAGACACCATACACCTTATAAATTCTTCATATTTACTTTAGTTATACAGTATGCGGCAAAAAAATGGCTACACTCGTGTCTGGATATACCTTATCAAGAACTATGACAAGGAGAGATTTTACAAAAAATGTATTTAATTATAAATATTTGATTTAACATCTGACAATATCTTTTACTCAATATTGGCACCATCAGCCATGATCACAGCCTCCAAACGGCCTCTGAAGGTGGAGCATGTCTTGATGATGTAGTCCTCCTTCATGTTGGACCAGGCCTTCGATTAACATCTGACAATATCTTTTACTCAATATTGGCACCATCAGCCATGATCACAGCCTCCAAACGGCCTCTGAAGGTGGAGCATGTCTTGATGATGTAGTCCTCCTTTATGTTGGACCAGGCCTTTGTGATGGAGGACTTCAGGGCTGCCACAGATGAGTGGGGTTTGTTGCAGGCAGCCTCCTCTACAAATGCCCACATGCTGTAGTCCAGGGGATTAAGATCTGGGACTCCTTTATGTTGGACCAGGCCTTCGTGATGGAGGACTTCAGGGCTGCCACAGATGAGTGGGGTTTGTTGCAGGCAGCCTCCTCTACAAATGCCCACATGCTGTAGTCCAGGGGATTAAGATCTGGGGAGCTGGGGGGCCACATATCCTTGTCCCAGAAGGACACAAAGTTGACCTCCAGCCACTTCTGGGTTTTCTTCACAGTATGGGCAGGGGCCCCGTCCTGCTGGAAGACATAGTTGGTGTCCAGAGGGTAGCCGGACTTGATTCAAGGTTTGACAGACTTTTCCAGTACGTCAATGTACACTTTAGTGTCGACCTTGAGCCCTGTTCAATGAAGACCGGAGGCATTTTCTTACCATCTGAGGCCACAAGTCCAAAGACCATCACAGAGGCCGGATGCTTGGTCCTGAAGGTGAACCTGATGTGCTCGGGGATATCCTCAGGCCTCTGATTGCTGATGTAGCAGTCATGGCGACTGTTGGAGGCATGATCGATGCAAGAGAGCTTCTCATCTGTGAAGAAATTCACTGGTTTTCTCTTTTTGAAGATCTGGAGGAGTTTCCGGCTTCTTGCTACTCACTTAGTCTTGGAGGTTTCATTTAAGAGCTGCCTCTTTCCCCTGGCCCTTGACTTAACTCCCAAATCCTCTTTGACAATCCTCCTGACTGTCCTCTTGCTCACCTTCGTTTCCTTGGCCATCCTCCTCATGGACCGGATGGGGTTGAGCTGGATTTTTCCTTTTATCGATCTGATCGTCGCCGGAGTACTTCCTGAACGTGGCCTTCCACTTCCAGGCTTCCTCTTGACATTGCCAGTGGCCTTAAATTTGTTGAGGACCTTGTACACAGTAATCCTGTGGATGTTCCGGGCCTTGGCAATCTCGGTGGGGGTCTTCCCAGCGTGAGACAAATTGATGATGGCCTCTCTTTTGGAATCCATTGCGACTAAATGCGAACAAATCTCAAAATCTTGGAACTATTTATAAAGAATCACCCAACCTCTACTTAAGAAAAAAATAATGTGGCCCAGTTCCACTTCTGGAAGAAGTTATAAATCTGGACATGAGTGTAGCCATTTTTTCGCCGCATACTGTATGTGGAATCTTTGTTCCATTTTGAACATATTCCATCTAATTTTTTTTTTTCTGATGTTATATGATGGTGAAAAACATTCATAGATCGCATCCGTGCTATTACGTTTCGAGCTCATGATGCCAGAGCTGAATTCGTTACCCGTTCATGGGTTTCGAAACAGATTAAACGTTCTGCTTCTGTCTCATGAAGCCCTATTTTTCAAAGATCACACGGCAATTGCTGAAAGAGAGAGGTATTGAATTTTTTTTCTGGAAATGCAGAATAGCCAGGAAACTCTCCTGATATGAATGTGGCTGAGAACATTGGGGTTATCCTGAAAGACCGAGTTGAGGCTCATGCACATGGAGGGCAAGCAGCACGGAATCTCCCGGGAAGTCTTGCAAAGCGACATCACCGAGGTGTTGAAGGACGTGGAAGATGACAGTGAGCTCTTTAAGCGCCTCTTTTCATATCATCCCGCTTGTATTTAAGCCCACAATGACAGAGCCAGGGTGCATAAAAATTATGAGAAGTACGTGTTTAGATTCGAAAATGAATGCTCTTTCTCATGAAATACGAGTTAGAAATACGAGCTCTAGAGACACTCTCCGAAGCTGGCTAACTCACAGTCATTCTCTAAAGAGATACAAGAGCTCAAATGAGTATTCACATGCCGTGTAGTGAGGTAGGAAAATTTTACATGTCTTCTCGAATCCCTGGCCAGAAGTACATGGAGTGTCCATCTGCCTTAATGGGACTATCGCGGAATTCCAAAGCCTTCCCTAATGTACGTGGGAAATGATCAGAAAACTCCATGAAAGGGCAGGGGGCTGCATTTTTCACGGCACCAAGGTGTGAATCGCATAATGGGCGTTTAGGCGCTATCTCGCGTCAATTAGCAGAACTAAATTTTCTTGTTTAAATGATGCGTATAACTTTATGTTCAAAGACTATTAAGATTACGATGAAGTTAAATGTGAAAACGAAAGAAATGTCCACAATAGTTTCCAAAGGACTATGCTAATTTATGAGTAGCTAAAAATTTGGATAATTACGAATATCCGGAATTTGATTGCTGTTGATACCTAACTTCAATTACTTCGGGTGTCCAGAAAGTAATGAGGTTCGTTTGTAAATTTGTAACTCTGCAAGCAATGCACTTCTCACTCCTCAGACATTTACGACATTTACATCAATATGTAATCTCTGTGATTGCCGATTTTCAAGTCAATCCGTTGAGAAGTGCTTACAGAGTAGACCTTAAAAGACAGCTCATAAGCTCACTGCAACGTGGGCTGTTTTTATCAATTTGGATATGGCTACAAGAGCTGATAATTTTCGCTTCTACGCGTTCAAGTGGTTCAACCTTGGCATTGCGGCCGCTGCCTGTTACATGGAATGAGCTTGTTGCAAAAGTCCTTGTTGAGCTTGTTGGAGAAAGCCTCCACGCCTTCGCGGAAAAAATGTCCCTGATGTGCTTGGCACCGTTGATGCGAGACGCTTTGTTGTCCTCGGTTAGTCGGTACAGTACCCAGACTGATGCCACGTTGCGCAGTTGCAGGTCTTATATGAGCACCTCGTGGACAGTGCTATTGCCAACGTCGAGCCCCTCATCTAGCCTCTCGAGTAGTCACTAGGCAGTATTTATCCACCGGCTCTCGCATCGTCTCGGCAGGCTCTGGTGTCTGGGTTGACCTTGGACCGCTACTGTGGGCTGGTCAAGAAAGGAAGGCTTTTCCTCCTTTCCAGCTGCTTCTCTGAAGTTGCCGAACCACCGAAAGACACTAGACTTGACATACACAAGGACCAGTTCTCTGTAACGGGCAGCGGCCGCAACGCCAAGTTTGAACCACGCGAACGCGTTGAAGCGAAAGTTCTCAACACTTGCACCCATATCCAAATTGTTAAAAAACAGCCCACGTTGCACTGAGCTTATAGGGCTGTCTTTTGAGGTCTGCTCTGAAAGCACATCTCAACGGATTGACTTGAAAATCGGCAATCACAGAGATTACATATTGATATAAATGCCTGAGTAGTGAAAAGTGCACTGCTTGTAGAGTTACAAATTTACAAACGATTCTCATTACTTTCTGGACACCCGAAGTATGTCTCAATATTTCAACCTTCTGTCAATGTTGACACGATTTAATGGTGCGGAAATGGATGTGTTTCGATTCACTTCAGGACAATCGTCAAATATCCTGGAAGTGATGAATTTGAGTTGCAGTTGAAGCATCTTTGGGGGATAAATACTATGGCAAAACTTAGAGCAGGGACTGGAAATCCTAAGAAAAGTTAGGTTATTCCTTTCACCAGTTCTCTCCTTTTTAAAGTACTCCAGTGCCCAATTGCATGGTGGTTTCCCATAAAAGTATTTAGAAATTATTTCCATTTGAAGAGCTTCTGAACAACGGAAAATTCGATTTTCTCATCAGGAAATCATATGTGCGGATAGGCATGGGCATTCCATTAAAATACCCAATATCGAAAGTGTTACTTTGAGCGCGTCAATATAGAAAGGCTGACATTTACCTTTTTCACCACCAGACGCATTTCTTAAGGTAAATGCAACTCAACAATAAAAAATTCAGAAACTAGAGTACCAGCCCAGGTACAGATCTAGCATTCCACTGGTCCCTGTACCACTGGATTTACGATCTATATATTCACTGCAACATAACCATCCAATCTTGAAATAAATAATAGCTGTCATTGGTACGCCATAGGCCTATATGAAAAGACCCAGACAACTGGACATATTCTGGATGGTTCGCGCCTATTTTGGTCGGCGTCGCTGGGAGATGAGAAGACAGTATTAACACTTTCGCTGCCAAACCATTATTTGGAGGCCGCTCCCCTGAGGCCAAAGTATGCCTCCTAATTCTGGTGTGCATGACACAAGCGATTCCGTGAAAGGTGGGGATCCACTGGAGATGATGAACGCATGGGGCGGCAATCGACAAGCCGTAATGACAAAACTGAACTTGTCCGCAATGACTGTCGCCAAACAAACGGTACCTATGTCGTACCATTGAATTTCTAACCAAGCTTGGAGTGCCATTGCTCCCGCATTCTTTGTATTCCTTGGACCTCGAACCTTACGACTTCAGGCTGATTCCAAAAATGAGGTGCCTTCGATGAATGGCCGCCGCTTCGACGACATCAGCGCTTGCCAATCAACTTGCGACCAACACGTTCGACAAATTTGCCAAGAATGGGTTACAGTCTGTTCTTAGCCCTTTACAAACGAAAGGAAATGTGTGTTGTAAGTCAGGTTGAACTAGAAGGTTGACTGGAAAAAATTAAGCAACTTGAACATTTTTTTATACAGGTAAATTCTTCAGCGAATTGACGTGAAATTGTAAGGATACCTTATTGCCGAGGTTCTTCAAGAGCTGTTGAAGTACAGTATGTGCACCCTTGTCCATCTACTCTTGAGTCATGACAGATTTAATCGAATTGGTCAAACTTTCTGAGTGAACAAGCATGTGACTGCCAAAGGGGAAGTACGAATCTGCATTTGATTTTACGTACATGCTGTACTATATATAGACTCCCGTAATATGCCCTATACGCAGAAATGAGGAAGAAGTCATTTCCACTTCACCCTTATACGGAGATATGCTTATATTCAATACATTGTAAAAAAGAAATGAGAAATGAAACACCGCCAATTTGATTTAAAATTGACCTCATCAGAAGGCGACGATAAAATTCGTAAGATGAAAGGAAGAGGTCAATAGATCGTATCACGCAAAGCAATGCAAACCAGCCGCCGGCGGCTCGTATGACCCAAGAGAAGAGAGAACGTACGACCCGCCAGCGGGTCGTATGGCCTAGGAGGAGAGAGCCCTTACGACCCGCCGGCGGGTCGTATGGCAGCGAAAGTGTTAAATGAAGAATGCCATATACGGCATTTCACACGTACGCCTAGCATCCCTGCCTACGAGACCGGGAGCAGCCGCTCTCCTTCATTGTCGACTATGGATCCGTCTACTACCAGGGCTGGAGGGGAAGTGGATGTTTTCGTGGAAGACGGGCATCCCGACCCAGGCGGAAAGCTGCGCGTGCGCATTGGGTCATATTGCCCGGTCGCTATGGTTACTGCGGACAGAAGGAATTTTAACAAGTGACAAATAGATCGCAATATATGGCATTTCCCAAATTTACCTATGGGAATGCTAGGTAATAAATAAAAATGTTACATACAGATTTTTCGCAAAATCCACCTTTTCCCTATAGTACCTATGGGAATGGCAGAAAAAAGAAAATCAAAACCTAAGTTAAATTGAAAGACAAAAACGTGCCATTGAAGTGTCAAAAAAGTTATGTGGCTTCGCTTTGATTACAATCCAAAATTTCGAATTGTAAGGATACTCTTTCCGATCTGTGTTTGGATTGTATTTTTCCTGAAAGCCCATTCAAATTTGAATTGACCATTGGATAATGATTGAGGTTTTTTTCCTATTTTCAGGGGAGCAGAATTATACTATGATTTAAAAAAATGTGAAACCCAGAAAGACATGTAATTTCTCAGAACTTCTCGAAAATTTAAATTTTGATAGAAAGTTAGAATTTCCAATTCCGCACTCTCGGTGCTGAAAAGCAATCGATGGCTCTTCGAATTTTTTATCTTTGAAATTTCTTAGCCTTCGAATTTTCGGCATTGCGATTTGCCTTGCCTCCAGCAAGAAGAGAAAGAACTTACTCTGGCTGATGGTTGCCTTTTTCGAAAAATGAGACTCCGACACCAAGCGTGCAATACGCATAGAAGTTGCTCAGAATGAGACCGGTTTCCGGGGCAACCTGGTACAAATTGTACCCGACGAGCCCATCGGAATCCACGAACGAGACGACGATCATGAACCTTCCAGCTGGAAAATTAATGCATCACAGCTGCATCACTTCCTCGTTACTCAGACATGAATGACGAGAAACTTACATGACATGAAGCTTTGGGTGGCGCTGACAGTCGCTTGCTGGTCTACCTCCGTATATTGCCATTGATCAAAGGTCATGGACACCAACTGCCAAGAGCAACCGCGTGACAATGTCAATTTTTAACATAATACACATTTTCACGTCAATATGCAGCAAAACCAGAAAAGAATAACATTTTCCCCAGAAGTAGGCTTCAGAATATGATAGTTCTCTATTTACTAATGAATAAAGAGAAGGTAAGAAGAGATGAATTTGGGGAGTAATTAACTTAGTTAGCTTTGAGGCAAGAATTTCGAACTTGCAATTATTTCTAATGGATATTAGCAGGTATTGGTTTAAGATACTTCCAGAAAATATCGTGATGCGGACCAAACTGTTACTCTGCTAAACCCACGGTTTTCGCGTATATTACCATTGTAAAGGATTCAACTCAAGTAAGTTGTAATGATACCGAATGGAAGGTAATACGCATTCAAAGGAAATTTATTTAACTGCGTGCTTC